CTATATCTACCCCAAAGTTAAGATAACATGATGGATTCCAAACCCTGCGCCGTTATAGCCCAACAACCTCATGAGCATTCACATTAAACCTGTAAACTTTGAACTATAAACCCGAAAACCTGGACTGCAAACTGTATATGTATATGGGTTTTTGGAGTCGCTGATTACGATAATAAATTATAGCGTTTTGAAAAGCTCTCGGGGTCAGCTACAAGAATATGTAATAAAAAATAGGGGATGCTATTTTAAAAAATTGGTGTAACCTTTATGTGACCTGCAGATAATTCTTCAAGGTCAAACCAATGGTACCATCTTATGTCCCCCTCGAAACCATACAACTTTTGTCTGAAACATTTTTGTCTGCTGGGCTCAGTTTTCGAGATATTTTACTGTCCAAGTTAAAGTGGGACACCCTGTATAATAAAGTATATTTTCATTGAGTACTTTCTGAGTAGTGAAGCTCACCCTATATAATTAATATTTTCTGAAGAGGCCGAAGTCCGACTTAAACTACAGCGCTATTAGTGCCACAATAAAGAGAGAGGGGAGGGGGGAGGAAGATTGTTCGACTGATTTATCTTTATTAGCTTTCTCAGCTATTTCTAATACTGATTAATTTATATCAATATTCTGTTTCTTATTAAACACTGTCCAGTTAAATTCGAGTAAAATTTACTTTTACCTATTTATTACTAGCAATCTTAAATCATTTCTATCACTGTATATTAAAAATGTACATTTTGATATTACTGAATTCAATAAGATTTTTTATTATATGATTTTTCATAAAATGCTGAAAGAAAAATATGTTAAAGATGTAGTAAAACAGTTGTTGTTTTCTTATTAAAAGAAAATGTATCGGTAGAGCAGGCAAAACTTTCATGATAATAAGATATGTTAGAAGGACATAATATAAAAATAAAATTCTTCTTTTAACTCTAAATTCCGAACATGCATTTCTCCATTTAATACATAACATCACTGTGTCGCGGCAGAAATAATTAATCACAAAAAGCAAAAAGAAGGTCTAGCTCTTGTTAAATGACGTTCACAAGATTCACAATCATCCAATACTTTAAAAACACATACATCCATAATATCCCTTGCTAATCTTATCAGATATGTTGTTATTGTGATACTGACGGCCTGCTTGACCTAATGATAATAAGTGTTGTTGATCACGTCATTTACATGAGTGTAAGAGAAAGTCCAAAGACCGCAATTTTAGTAGATGTCTATACTGATCAGTCATTTGTGAGCGTTTGATATAAGAACATCGGTTCATTGTGACATCACTTTAATAATGAAAATATTTATAACAATATAAAATCTCTCAAACAGTTAGATATTTAAATAATTTTTGGTGAATTTTTATTTATGCACAAGTACAATTCTTATTACAAAAACGGATACATTAAATTTAAGGTATTTAGTAATAAAGTATAAATAGCGTACTTCAATGTACTTGCTAATTACTAAACGCATTTAAGATATAAAGGCTGTAACTTTGTGCTGAAATAAATAATATATATATTTAATAATTTGTATAATTTGAGGATTAAAAAAGTGCAGAACGAAACGAAACTTGATTAAGGTGGCCAATTATTTCGTGAACCAACGATGTTCACTGTTATATTGCTATCACTTATCCTTATATTATGGATGTATAATTATTATGTGCAATATGGAAAAACTGGGCGATTAATCAATCTTATACCAGGACCACCAGCTCATCCGATTAGTGGGCATGTATTGAAATATATATCACAATTTAGCTCACGTGGTAAGTTAAAATTTTTGATATATTCCTTTCTTATATACATATATTCCATACAAGTTAATAATTATGGTAAAATAATAAACTGATGTTTATTATACACACGTATTTTTGAATGTTACATTTACAAACATTCCATTGTTTAATAAAGATAAAAAATTATGTATATTATCGAATGTTGATTACTTTTAAGAACTATTTAAGCTTAAAACTATTTTAAAGAGAGTTAAAGTTCATTTTTAATTGTTATGGTTATTTGAACAAAAGACGGTTACATTAAATATAATGGTAAAATCACTTGTATGCTTTTCGATCAATATTTATATTTCCGTGAATTTATTTAATAAACGTATACATATATACATTTTTAGTGGCGCTGTGGAAGCTTCTACGTTCATTATATAAAGACAACTATCCCATTTTTAAATTATGGGCATTCTCTGTGCCCCTAGTATACATCGGTCATCCGGATGATTTAGAGGTAATAAAATATAAAGCATTTTGTTCTGGTTTCTTTTTCTATTTTTGATATATTAGTGACAAGACGTAGGTATATTAAATTTTTATGTTTCTGTATTTTCTCGAAAAATATGTCTATTTGTAAGAAACTTGGTAAAGATACTTCAAACATAATTCACTACCTGAAAAGTTGTTTAACTTTCTACAGTTTCAGCAGAGTTAGAAAATAACGTATTATTTATAGCGTCATTACCGTGACTCTTATTCAGATTATTACTTTTATCAGTAACAGTAACGTTGTTACGTTTGTTGGGTAACAATAACAAAGTCAACCGTACTTCTATCGTTATATCTTGAATATACAAATTCATATTGAAAACTCAGCCAAAACTCAATGATTCAGAGAAATATAATAATATTTCTTTACATGATTGCTTTAAACCCGGGAAAAAATGTTTATATCTAATCATATTTGAGTACATCTAACTCAGATATAAGCATAGCAATATCGATCGCCAGGCGGTCACATCTTGCCACGCGCTCGAATTGGGCAGTAGGCCGGCCTAAGACAACGATTTTTAATAATTAATTACTCGTTAACTATTACGAAAATTGCAAAATGGTACAGGACTTTTCAGTTCATCTCGATCCGTTCTACCTTCTCAAAAATTTTGTCGGATATGGAAAGACTCACCCTGTATACGATTGTATTATTATATACATATATGATCATATATGTTCTATTCAATCAAAGACTATATAAAAATATTTATGAAATATTGTGATAAATATTGATAAAGTATTAAAATAAATCTCTTAAATATTTGTACATATTTGTGTGCTATCGAACGATATCTTTTCTCTTAAATATCTCAAAAAGTATTAGGCAAATCAACAAATGTTTCGAACTAAAGCCAACGGCACACGATACTGTTTTTCCTACTGGATTGCTTACGAGAGCCAATTAGGCTTTAGCCTTAAATCAGGTGATCTAAAACTCTGTACCCTTATTGGCTCTCGTAAGCAATCCAGTAGGAAAAATAGTATCGTGTGCACTGAGAAAACCATTTGTTAATATAGTGACAGCTAATTATTATTTTGCTACGACAGCAAACTGTTTGCTGTCGTAGCAAAATATTGAGCTATCACAACTAAAAATATTAGCTGTCACTATATTAACAAAGTTTTAGCTACAGCAGCTAAATGGTTTTTCTCCGTGTGCCGTTGGCCTAACGTTGTTCATATTAATTAGTAGAATAAAATAGTATAATAAACAATTGGGGGTATCATTTAAAAAATTAAAGGCGATCTTCACGTGATCTTCAAGCAACTATTCAAGATCAAATTAATGACACCATCTTATGTCCCCCTCGAAACCATACAACTTGTGCCCAGGTCATTTTTTGCTAGCCCCCTTCCCCGAAGACATATTTACGTGCGACGATTAAAATGTCTCACCCAGTACATATATTTCAATTTTTGTTATGTTTCTTAAAATAAAATAAAATATTTTATTTAAAAAATCAATTACGTCTTTTATCTTTAAAATATAAAAGAAGCAACAAAAAATTAACCGTTATTTGCTCAGCAATGGCACCGATAACGAATTACTTCTTAAGAAAAATAACGCTAACGGTAACGTAACTCTTTTTAAATAACGTTCCTGACTTTTAATTCTGAATTTTAGACAATATTAAGCAGCACAAAACATATAGAAAAGAGTATCCTATATGATATATTTCATCCCTGGATGCATACTGGTCTTCTCACTAGTGGAGGTAACATAATAATGTTAAGATAAATAAAGATATATATTTTACTATGTTGTATAAACATTGCAATTTGCATCATTTGGGCTGGAAAATTCTGATACTGGTCAATATCAGAGCTTCCCAGCATTGATGGCAAAATGCAATGTTTGTAAAACGTCAACATTACGTTGTAATCGAACGCGGCATCCATTCGGAAGCCATTACTACTGACGATGTCAACAACAACAACGAAAGATTAACAAGTTAGAATATTAAAAACGTGTTGCAAAGATTTTTTTTTCGACGTTTAATAATTGTTATCACAAAAGTTTAAAAGCACATAAAAAAAGAATAAATTTGGTATGTAATCAATAGTTATTAAAAATCTATCAAATTCAAATTAAATTAAAAAATATAAATCTCTTCGAAATACTTATTACACATTTTTACCTCTTAATTTTGCCTTACGTTTGCGTTTTAGGGACCAAGTGGCATTTACGACGAAAGATATTAACTCCCTCATTTCATTTCACTATATTGAAGCAGTTTACTGAAATCTTGATCGAGGAAGCCGAAAACATGGCCAAGTCAATGAAAGATACAGGAGGCACAGTTGTAAAAGATTTACTACCACTTTTTAGTGAACATACGCTAAATGCAATATGTGGTATGATAATGTGTTCGTACATAACTGTACAGAACGTTATCTCTCTTGATAAATGACATAAGAAACGATACAAATTTTTTTATTGGAAATTTCAATATTATAACGTAGGTCTAGTTTCACCAATGTTGCTTAACTTTAAGCTTAGCTTACATTCTTTGTCTCTTCCTAACTTTACTTTAGAAAGAAACAAAAGTAAATTAAACTAAGATTAAAGTTAAATGACGTATGGTGAAACCGGGCCTTACTGATGCATAAATGGTTATCTAATCACAGATGTACTTGATACATATAGTATATCATAACATTATACTGATACTTAAACATGTATGTTTGCAGAAACTGCCATGGGCACTTCTTTAAAAAGTCTCGGTGAGTTTCAACAACAGTATCGACAAGCAGTTCATCGGATGGGCGAACTTTTTGTTTATAGGTAATTATATTTTGTTTATAGGTGTAATAACTGATTGCACACACACACACATACACACTCATGTCTGTATTCTTAAGAT